TATGCGATTGACTCACCAGAAAGTGCACCTGGGCGTCGATGAGAGTCATGGATTGATCCATGGCACTGTTTGAGGCCGTGCTTGCCGGTAGACAATAGATGTGCAGGGAATGGTGAACGATTTGAGGTTGAGCTTGGAGTTGAGGTTTGACTCAGGACCACAAACGGTTACGCCATCGGTGATGCTATTCAAAGTCGATCGAAGCAAGATATTGCGTCAGTGGTAGTTGCAAGCACGCAGAGACAAATTGCGAGAGTCGGATGTTGAGAGATGACGAAAGCAGAAAGCGCACAAAGAGACCCCTCTAATTCCCCTCTTTTCATATTTCCAACCACCACCAATTAACCAATTAACCAATTAACCAACTAACCAACTAACCAAATGCCTATATATTCCCTATCATCCACTTACCAAATCTCTTCATGTACCCACAGCTTATCAGCCTCCCCGCGCTAGGCGCTACGGCTACGCACGGTTCCTGGGCCACTTTTATCTCGCCGAGGTTTTCCGCCTCTCCTATCGCTTCCCCCCGTATGGTGTTCGGCCAATGTCGATCAAGAGAACGTGCCTGTTCTATCTCCCGGAGCTGATCCCCGTGCCCTACGGGTATTAAATAAGGCGCCTGCAGGATACTTTGCTCCAGCTATGTCATCTGGCTAGGTCATCTGAAGAGTGATGGGCGTGCTGACCTGCAGCTGTCTGCTTCCAGGATTCTATTCTTGCACATCCCCCGCTTTTTCTATTCTAAACGTGTCCTCGGTACCTAAGTAGGTACATGTAGGTGATGTGCCACTACCATGTCGACGATAAGGAAATAAATCCATACTCAACTCAAACGTTACCTATGCAACGTTGCACTTCGGATTAGAAACATCGATGCGCCCGCTTTGTACATCCTGGTTTAAATTAACAGTCAAAGTTAGGGACACTATACCGTGGATATATATATCAACACGGAGGATTAATGGTCGGGTATGCTGCATGTACGGAGTCTACGCAGGTGTACGCAGGTGAACTCATCTCCATAATTCTACAACTTAGGGCTTCTTCATTGAGGAAACATCACAAATCAAACAGATGAAAACAAGCGATTGGATTCGATTCATATACTCTGGTAGACTTCAATCTGGGGTGTCTACAGACCTGTTGAGTCAAGTATGCAACCCCCTTGCGTGGATGTTCAGGGACCTCCAAACTCGGCCACATTCCACCTTCCAGTCCCACTTAGGGCATTCTTCACTCGACAACAAAGGTATTCCAAGGCCAAAATGAAGCTCCCTGGTGCGGCTTGTTTTTCTTGGATCAAGGCACTGCCAATGACGGCCCTGCAAATTTGAATTCGGAAGGGCCAGCATACTCAGGCCCCTAGTGCAGATCCAGTGACCAGAGCACCTTTGTTTTTGTCGCCATGGGTTAAAGAGACGCGAATCCCATTTTTTGAAACTTAAGCAGCACTCCGACCGACCTGCGCGGATTTCCTTCGACCAGCGTGTTTTTGTTATTTCTTATTAATTTGTAGTTCATCGTTGTCCGACCTCGAATACATTCGTTTGGAGGATTTCGCTATCCTTCGGATTCGGGTCGATTGTCATTCTTTTGAACAATCTCATAATGGCCAGATTCGGTTTGATTGCGCTGGCCTCATGGCTCGGCCTCGCTGCGGCTAAGGATGTCTACCTTGATTGGAACGTTACCTGGGTCAATGCCTCCCCGGATGGTTATGAGCGTCCTGTCATCGGTATCAACGGCGAATGGCCTTGTCCCCAGATCGATGTCGACGTGGGTGACCGCCTCATCGTCGATGTATACAACGGTCTTGGAAATGAGTCCACCGGTATCCATTGGCACGGGTTCCACCAGTATGCTACTGGCGTGATGGATGGAGCCAGTGGAGTGACTCAATGTCCTATTGCCCCAGGCTCACACATGCAATATCATTTCCAGGTACGTGCTTCTTATTTGTATACTGAAATTATGCTAATGATGATATAGATCAACCAAACTGGAACTTACTGGTATCACTCGCACAATATGGCTCAGTACCCCGATGGATTCCGTGGTCCTCTGATTGTGCACGACCCTAAAGCTCCTTTCCACTATGATGACGAGTTCACAATCACCCTGAGCGACTGGTACCACCAGGAGATGCCTGGACTCCTCAATATTTATGAGTCAGAGTCCAACATACAAGGCCGGGAGCCTGTCCCTGACTCTGCCTTGATCAATGACTCGTTCAACAACACCAAGATCAAGGTCCTACCCAACAAGACTTACCTTGTGCACATTGTCTGTCTTGGAAACTGGCCCGGCCACACCTGGGTGTTGGATGGCCATGAGATGACCGTTGTCGAAGTGGACGGTATCTATGTCGACCCCTACCCTGCTGGAGAGAAGTTCCTGCGTATTGCCAATGGACAGCGCATGAGCGTCCTGATCAAGTCCAAGCCAGACACCAGCAAGAACTTCGCTATCTGGGATACCATGGATGTGAACATGATGTTCGTTTATGAAGGCCGTCCCATTCCCCCTGGATACAACCCCAACGCCACCGCCTGGTTGGTTTACGATGAGGCCAAGCCTCTGCCTGCTCCCCCAGTCTTCGGCACCGACTTCCAATTCGTCGACGATGTCGACTTCGTGCCCGCAGACCACGAACCTCTGCTTGAGCCGGTGAACCAACAGATTATCCTCAACACTGGCAGCCGGGTGATCAACGGTGTCCAGCGTTTCACAGTGAATGGCCAGACCTACATGCCTCCCAAGGTCCCAACCCTGTACACAGCTAACACCGTCGGTCCCAAACTCGCTTCCAACCCCGCTGTCTACGGCCAAGTCAATCCCTTCGTGGTGAAGTACGGCGATGTCGTAGAAATTGTCATCAACAATCACCACAACAACCTGCACCCGTGGCACTTGCACGGCCACCAATTCCAAGTCTTGCAGCGCACCGACATCAATGGCGGCCCCTACAGAGGTCTGTTCTCCAACGTCTCCAAGACACCCGTCAAGCGTGACACAATCATGGTCCAAAACAACGGCCACGCCGTCCTGCGTTTCCGCGCTGACAACCCCGGTGTCTGGCTCCTCCACTGCCACATCGAGTGGCACGTTGAGGCCGGTCTGATGGCTACCATCATCGAGGCTCCCGAGACTTTCCCCCAGTCCCAGAATGCTCCTCCCAAGAGCCACTATGATGTCTGCGCTGCCTATCCCGCTCCTATCAGCGGCAATGCTGCTGGTAATGATGGAACCGATCTCAGTGGCCTCGACAATACGGTCACGGCTGGAAGCGACGGTGCTCTGTATAATGTCAATACGAAGTCTGCACCCGCGCCCAAACCCACCACTACCAAGGCTCCTCCTCCCAAGGCCCCCGTTCCCAAGCCCATCACTACCCGGGCTCCTTCTCCTCAGGCTCCCGCGCCCAAACCCACCACTACCAAGGCTCCTCCTCAGGCCCCTGCGCCCAAGCCCACGCATACCCATGCCCCGACTCCCCAAGGGCCTAAGCCCGACCCTGGCCACCCTAAGCCCGCTCCTCCAGTGCCTCAATCACCCGCGCCCCAGGAACCCCATCCCGTCCCAGTGGCGCCAGCTCCTGGCCCTCAGTACTACCCAGAGGAGGACTATTACCCCGATTCCGATGACGAGCCGCTGCAGGTCCACTCCGGGGAGCACAACGGACCCTGGCCAGCACCGCACACAGACCACGGCCACGTCCAAGTCGGCCATACCCACTCCCACCACCCCGGCGAGCCGGTCATTGCCGATTCGCAGGATACCAAGTAAGTATACCATTTCCAAATGACAGCCTCGCCATTATGAGAGTCACTAACCATCTTCGTAGGGGTCCCTGGCCAAACGCCCACAACGACAAATCCCATGCCCAAATCGGCGACCCGAAAGACCCCTCGACTGACCCCATCGTCGCTCACAACGAGGACACGAAGGGTCTCTGGCCTCACCCCTACAACAACAACGGATACCTCACTCATGGGGGACATACCATTCACACGCATGATTCCGGGTAAGTCCTCATACCAAAAAAAGGACTCAAATGTGCGCATCGCTGACCGTGATTGTAGGCCTGATGATCTCCCCGCTGGCTTCAAGGACTGGGAGCAGTATGAGCATATGCAGTAAACAAGACCAAGACTGGTTGGAAATGGCTTGTATATTAATTTTACTTTTCCTTTCTTCCTAATGGATTGGTGTTCTTTCTTAATTAGAACAATGAGACCTTTTTCCTATTTACGTTGGTTGATCCATGGATGAAATCTGTAGATAGCCTGGTTTCTCAGGCTTTACGTTGGTCCCTAAGTTACCTTTTGGTTAGGTTCAGGTCCTTTCTTAATTAGTGCACTGAGACCCTCTTTTGATCATATTCTTACCTATATATGTTCATTGATCCATGGGCAGGATATCTCGGCAGCCTGATAGCTCTGGTTTTCGTTCGCTCTATACGTCTTAGGGTTAGGTATCCCGTTTAGTCTTTTGGTTTTCCTGAAATGGTTGATATACGTTCTTAATTAGTCCACTAAGACCCATTCTAGGTATATCGGACCTAATTCGGTGTATCAATCCGTACGTGATATATACACGAAGCCTGACGTCAGTTTGCTTCGTTTGTCTGAGAGATGCGCCGTTTGGATCTTGCCCTTAGGGTCACACAGAGAGTGAATACAAGCAAAGTTACGGGACTGAACTTTTGAGGATATTATCAGGTTGCTGCCTTGCTGATATAAATGCACTAATTTCTAATTTTGGCCTGTCTTATTATCGCTAGTCACTGATCTATCGACGGGCTATCCATGGATAGTATCAATTACACCTCCGATTCCCAATCGGGTCTCTTACCAAATCCTGACGACCTCATCTACATCCAAGATACTGTCATATTGAGAATCAGCCTCTCTCGCTTACCTCTCTTGCCACCACCGCCGGGTTCTGAGCTACGGCAAACCGCGAACATGGCCGGTCCCATCATATGTTGCCAAGGCATGCAGCTCCCATTTTCCAAACATGCCAACGCCCGTGAACTCTACAACTTTGAAGTTTGGGCTCGAACGACATCCGCAAGAAAGCACACCAAGAGCTTACCAAGGGGTGTATTCGGGGCCGAGCGTTACTTCCAAGTCACAACCCGCCCCGGCCTCGCAAATGTCCGTTCCACTCGGATTTTTATACCAAAGCTTGACAATCACAAGCCATACCAGGAGGTTTTGTCAGTTGCGTACATTGAACGAAATTATAAGCAGGTTGCTTCGTGAGTTACTCCTTCTTTGCTTACGCCTTACATGAAACTGATACCCTCGTGTAAAATATAGGTTTACGAGCTCTCGATGCCACCACAACAAGTACATCGAAGTTTCTCTGTATGAAAAACAAGTTACTCCGCCGAACCGAAAATTCCTTACGCCTAAACGTCGGACCAAGCCTCTTCCTAGCACGGATACTGAGGATAGATTTATCTGGCCTCCTTCGCCAACCTGGGAAGAGAAATTGAGGCCGTCCCTTTTAGGTGCTGAAAAGAATGACGATAATCTATGGCTCGCGGATTCCCTCGATTCACGCCCCTGTGGGAAAGAAACTAGCCTGTCTTCGATTATCGCAGAAAAGAAGGATGAGCATCAATTGCAGTGGAAAGCACCAGCCTGGTCGAACCACGATGCGGAAGATTGTTCCACGTTTCCCGTTTTTAAATGGCCAGATGATGATCTATCGAATCCCAAACGACCCACGTCCCTTGACTGGAAAGTCAAAGCTGAGCCCTCTTCTTCCGTTGTTGAGAAGGACAATGATCTATTGCCTTTGAAATCACCCGCTTCGCGCTCTCCCGTAAAAGAAAGTGACCCGCTTTTGATTTTCGCCCGAGAGAAGAATGAGCATTGGGGCCAGTGGAAAGCACGTACCTCGTCCAACTGTGAAAACGAAGCTGCCCCTTCCTCTGCTGTTGTTGAGAAAGAAGCTGATGATCAGTGGTGCTTCAAACGACCCACTTCCCCTGTCTGGGACATGAAAGCTATTCCATCTTCTACCATTGCTGAAAAGGAAGACGATACATGGCGCTTGAAACCACCCGCTTCGCACCTTCGAGGAAAGAAAACCAGCCCGCCTTCGGTCATCACCGAAAAAGAAGATGCTGGTCAAGCTAGGTCTGAAATAAGTACCAAGATACCTCCAGGTATCATCGAGACTGCAATCAAACAGCTGAAGCTTTCCGAAGCGCAAGCCAAACTTTCCTCAGTGCTTGCTGATGCTGCAATGGCTGGAGACGCAGTAGCTGGAGCTACTCGTGCTAACGATACAGGAAGTGATTCGCCAGCGGAGGATACTGCAGGGTTTGAAGATATCTTCTACATGCCCTCAGAGCAGCCCCTACATCCTACTATATCTGAGACCGAAGGCTTTTACTATTTGGACGAGAAGGACTTCGGCTGTTATTACCCCGGACGAGTCTCTCAACCTTATAGTGACTACAATGACGACAGATGGGAGAAGGTGACGGCTTGTAAGAAGTGTGGGGATCCTGGAAATTACCCTTGGTGAATCAATCTGACCTGTGCCTGGTTGCTATGTTACTCTTGCTTGACTTAAATGGGCTCAGGTGGAATGTCCAGTTCTGATAACAGTAGTGTCTTTCATTCATTGCAATAATTTAGATCTGCAAAATCATCTAGTCCAGACCCTTGAAAACATCCTCAAAACGCAGCTCATTCCAGCGAACATTCGGCTTCAGTCCAGCAAACTTCCACACACCATTGACCTTGCGGTAGTAGTGCTCGTTTGTGGCATGCGAGTGGCCACGCAGCTTGACAGTCTCAAGTTCGGCAGTCTCGTAAACCTGGTGGGCAGCGCGCAGCTGGTGGTGACCGATGACCTCGGTGTCGGAGACCTTCTCCCACCAGGTCTGACCGAGCAGATGCTGGGTTTTGATGGTCTCGTCACCCAAGAAGCCGGGGTGTGTGACCATCGCCATGTAGTCATCTGCGGCCATGTTGTCCCATCTCTTGAGACCGATCTTGGTGTAATCGACGGTCAGGGTTGGGGCAATGATGCTGCGGAGGCGGTCCCAGTCCTAGTCATGTTAGATATCTGGGGTATTGAATTTATTAGAAGTGCATAATTTACCTTAGCATCATAGCTGTCAGCCCAGTCGAAAACGAGCTTCGAGAGGATGAGGAAGTCTGTCGATGTCAGTATTTAATATATTGTGAAATTTGCATATTGAAACCTACCCTGGAAGCCGATGTCCAAGTTTGGCTCAGTGGTGTTCTTAACGGCGGGAGACATGATGGTATAGCAGTTTGAGGATTGTCAATAGCTGAGAAATCTCCTATAAGGCGCGCAGCTCGAGTATATCTACAAACACATTCGCACTGGGGCCAGAATTCCCCGGACCAGGCCCGCCGCCAACCAATTTCCCCTGTATGAGGAACTGGGAATGTAACTGTAGGCTCATGGTGTGATAAATGGTGGGGACGGATCGTCCAACCTTCGGTGACGGCTTTCCGCATGCGGAAGTAGGTCAGCCCAAGATAGTTGGGCTTACTGTTCGCAAGCAGCCATTTGATTCCCTAATTGAATATTTAATGGCTCACAAGAACAAGTGTGGGTCTTTAACAGTCCATTGTAGACATTGTCACCTCCAAAATCGGAACTAAAGAGAACGTCGCTGCAATAGGGAGCTATGAATGGAACCAAGCCATGCAACTGATCCCAACTAGGCTTGTCTTCTATGTCTATACAAAATATCATATTCAATATTAGATTACCCTTCCCACTCTTGTCGCAACCCTCTAGATATTCCTCTACAACCATCACCCCTTTACCTCTATCAACATCAAAGTCATCATAATGGTCGCGCTCAACTCTAGCGCCATTCAGCCTGAGCTCGCCGGCAAGGTCGCCCTTGTAACTGGTGGTGGTCGGGGCATCGGCTCCGGTATCGCATTGGAGCTGGCGAAGAAGGGCGCATCCGTGGCAATCAACTATGCCAGCAGCTCTCAAACCGCCGACAAGGTCGTGCAAGAGATCCAGGCACAGGGTGTGAAAGGTGCAGCCTTCCAGGCTGACCTGACGAACGTCGACTCCATCGGAAACCTCTTTAGCCAGGTCGTGGCACACTTCGGCCAACTCGACATCGTGGTCTCCAACGCCGGAACGGAGAAGTTCGTTTCTCTGGCTGACACCACGCTGGAGGACTTCAACGACGTATTCGACCTCAACACACGGGCGCAGTTCTTCGTCGCTAAGAATGCCTACGACCACATCCAGCCCGGTGGACGTGTTGTCCTGATGTCGTCCATCGCTGCTGGCGTTGGTGTTCCCGGACACTCCCTGTATGCCGGCAGCAAGAGCGCCATCGAGGGTTTCACTCGCTGTTTTGCTGCCGATTTCGGCAAAAAGCGTTGCACCGTCAATGCGATCGCTCCTGCTGGCATCAAGAGTGACATGTGGTTGAGCAACTCGTGGCGCTATGCCCCTGGCTGTGACCAGAACTCGTCTCTCGAGGATATTGAGCAGGCTCTGGCTAATGGTAGCCCTCTCAAGCGCTGTGGTGTGCCCGCGGACATTGGTCGTGTTGTAGCATTCCTGGCCAGTCCCGCTGGAGAATGGATCAACGGTATGTATTGGAATGCTCACTTTATCCCTTCCGGAACGTGGCTAATTCTTTGCAGGTCAGATTCTGCCCCTGAATGGAGGTGCCAATATCTAAGGAGTTGAGAAAAACTGGGGCTTTGGAGTTGTTTCGGATTAGAGTCATTCATTGGAACCCCCTGAGAACTGCCATTTACAGGGCCAGAGCTGATTAGTATTTCAATAATGCTTCGTTTCTGTTTAAATATACTGTATTCAACCAATTGAATTAGATGAGCGTCGAACTCACAAATATATTACTCGCCATGTATCAAACGTTCGATCTCACCAAGAAACCGCCGGGTGACTTTTGGGCAAGCGAATCACACCAACATCAAAGCCACGAGCAACGACGGTGAATTGCATAGCTCGAACGTCTGCAAGATTCGATCTGTATTTCTTTGGCTCAAATCGACTTTTACCACGTCCGCATCCGGAACTCCACGAAGCAACCCTCATGCAAGATTATTGTGTCGACTGCTCACCTGCTGTTTGCATCTAGATCATCACCTTAATACTACAATATAGTTGGGTAGCATTTGGCGATTTTTGCTACCAGCAGATCCAGGGTAACATGGAGGTGGTTGATAGGGGCGAGGTTCGCCTTGTAATAATATAAGAAAACTTATTGTCTAGACAATACCTCACACCACTTGGTTCACTGTATCACTATCAAAATGGCCCCCTGGATTCTTGGAGACAAATTCGACACCGTCTACCCCCATCAGGGGTCGATGAAGGCCCTGTGGGAGATGAAATGGAAATTCCCGGTACGTCTTGATCCTCCGAAGCATAAAAGCCGAGATACTAATAAACACCAGTGCACGAAATCCATCTATCCGTTCCACGATGGATCGCTGGAGGACTTCGAGCCCATTTTCGAGAAGCTGATTGCTGTAAGCACTCTCTCATCTTCGTTTCATCAATCTCAACATTAACAATAACGATTAGGAAAACATCAACGATGCCAACGACGATGCGTATACTAACGCCTTCCTGCCCACAGCATCAGCTCTGGAAAAAGAAGCAGACAAAGCCCTAAGCGATGGCCACCGAGACCGCGCTGCAGATCTCTACCGTCGCGCTGCAGTAGTCCTGCGAATCTCACGTTTCCCATACGTGAGTCCAAACGCACGCCCAGAGACCTCCATCAAGCGCCGGGCCTTCAACCACCAGAAGGAGGTCTACATAAAGGCAGCATCGCTGTGGAACCCAGTCCTCAAAGAAGTGATGATTCCACACACGCACCACGCCGGCAACGACCGCGGCCGGGAAATCCCAGCCTACATCCGCGTACCGGAAGAAGCCAGCGCACAGAACCCCGTGCCGGTCGTGCTGCTCATGACCGGACTTGACGGATACCGTCCTGACAACAGCCAGCGCAGCCATGAGATTGTCAACCGTGGCTGGGCGACGGTTATTGTTGAGATCCCCGGCACAGCGGATTGCCCTGCTGACCCTGCTGACCCGGAGTCGCCTGATAGACTGTGGTCGAGCGTGTTGGACTACATGTCTCTGAGACCTGAGTTCGACATGTCCCGTGTTGCGGCTTGGGGTCTTAGTGCTGGTGGTTTCTATGCCATCCGCGCGTCTGTCATGCACCGTGATCGACTCGCTGGTTCTGTTGCTCATGGGCCTGGGTCGCATTATGTTTTCGACCCTGAGTGGCTGGCCCATGCTAACGACCATGAGTATCCGTTTGAGTGAGTTTGATTGTGGCTTGTCGAGGTTGAGGGTTGAAGGCTGACTTACTTGTAGTCTCACTCCATGCATGGCTGAGAAGTACGGCTATGACAGCGACGCCGACTTCAAGAAGAACGCGCAGAAGAAGTTCTCACTGATTGAGACTGGCATCATGGACCAGGACAACTGCCGCCTCCTTCTGCTCAATGTATGAACTCCCCTTGTGTTGATTGTAGGAAAGAGATGAGTGCTGACCGTTTCCAGGGTGTGAACGATGGTGTCGTTCCCATTGAAGACTGTATGGTTCTTATGAACCATGGCGGTCCTAAGGAGGGCCGGTTCTTCGAGAACCTGGTCCACATGGGATACCCTCACAGCCTGCCTGTTGCTTACAAGTGGCTGGAGAGTGTGTTGTCTCCCAACGTGACACAGGCGAAGAACTGAGAGGGCTTGGTGTAGATGCTGTACATGGTACTATAGTTTGTTTGAGAAATGGCTGTAATTTGACATTTTTACTCTGACGACTTATCATTTCCGTTTCGCTGCACAAACACACGGATGACAGTAGCATGGATGACATGCTACTGGGTTCCCCGATGAGGTTGAAAAGCTTTTTTATTGGTAGCCGTTGTAGATGAGGATATCGAAATTTGAGCCAACTGATTCGCTCCAATTCCGATTGCCTTTTGAGAACAAGATGGTGATATATATCAGACCGCAAAAAAACGCCCGCAATGCATTGAGGTTATTTTTCCGATCCCCAGGAAAATCACAAAGAGAGAGCATAGAGTCACATATGGAACAAGGATTAAAGGAAAATTTAGTCGTCGTCAACCCGAGCGCGCTTGGATCCTCTGTCTTCGCCTTCGGCTTCCTGGATTCCATAACGCTTCTGGCCCGAAGTCACATCGGCAATCATGTTATCAATACCGAAAGGATCGGCAGTATCCTTTTCGAACTGAACAGGACCTTGACGCTCCTACGAAAGAAAAATCCATTAGCACTGCTTCTAAAGATCCCAATAGCGTCGTTACTTACCTCGGCGTCAGCAGCGCCTCGGAAACCTTCCTTGGCGCGTCCCAAGACCTCGAATCGGTTGGTCTTCTCCAGCTTGCTCATCTCGCCTTCACCGGCTTCCTCATCGTCGGCATCGATTTGGGCACGTGGGCGGTAAATGCTGTTGATGGCGTCCTGCGCGGCGAACAGCGGCTTGTCGTAAGGGTTGTCTTCGTTGAAACCAGATTGCATGCCACTGGTTTGGTTGAACAGACGCGAATCCCACATGGACTCGGAGCTCTGTGTGGGCTTCGCCAGACCAAGTGCGACCTTCTCGGAAATATCACGGTTCTGTTCGCGGGCCATGGTTTGGATGCGGCGCTCTGTACCCATACGGGATTGTCGCAGCTGTCGTTCAGCATCCTGTCGTCGCTCGCGACGCTGCTGCTCTCGGTCCCGGGCTGCCTCATCGTCCTCGCTAGGGGTACCAGACCTGGAAGAGTATGGAGAAACGCTGCGGCTGGCGCTTCGGGACCGATCCCGCTCCTCGCGGCGGCTGGGGCCAGCGCGTTCCTCCCGAGCCTTCTGTGCCAACTGCCGGAGGTGCTCCTCCTTCTGTGCCTTCTCCTTCTCCGCCAGCTTCTGCTGCATCGAGGCTCGGAGCTGTACCTCCTCGCGGGCATGACGATCCGCTGTGAACAGAGCTTCCGCAAATTGGGCGAATTTGTCGTTAATTGAAACATCTTGCAATCCACGACCATCGGCAGCCAAACGCTTGTCCAGTGGCACGGTGTAACCCTTGGGGTTCTTCCAGTTCGAAACAGGTGGGGGGATCTTCCAAGCTTCTTGGTCTTCCGCAGTAAGCTTGCGAGGTGGCGAGTGCATGACGGGAGGCGGGGGAGATGGCGGGCCACGGGGAATCTTCTTGTGCTTGAACTTGGGCGGCTCCATAGGATCCTGCTGCCTCTCGACAATTTTCATAATGCGGTCATTCTTGCGGCCGTTGTTGCCCATCTGGTTCGCCGGGGTATAGCGAACAAAAGTGGGCTCTGCTCTTTGTCCACCCTTGACGTTCTTCGGCTTTTGGGCAGATGAAGCTCCTTCCACCAAGGTTGCCAAAGCAGCCTTCGTCTTTGCCATCTGAGCCTCGACTTCCTCCTCCGACGGACGGTCCAGTGATAGCTCTCCCATATCCACCCGCTGTCGGAGCGGGATTAAATCCTTGAACGATGCATGGACGGTGCGGTTGTCACCGTGTCCGCGGCGGGCGATCGCGTCGTATTTGACTTTGCCTTCAGCGTCGACTTGGACAGCAAGCGCATTCGATGTTGATGACGTTCCCTTTCGGCCTAGGTCGAGGGGATATTGTGCGACTAGAATCTCAGGGAACGCGCCGCCGTCGCCAAAATCTTCGGGGGCACGAGGTCGCCATCCTGCACGGTTTCCGTATGGGGGGGGTCCGGTCCTCTGAAAACAGCTTGATTAGCATTGAGACTAGCATTGTAGTTAACGTTTCAAATCTCACCCGTAGAACGACCTGAGTCTCATCAAGCTGGTCGGCGCCCACCACGCGCGGGCCACGAGGCTGCGCATGCTGTGGCAACTCTTCCTCCTCGCCAGTATATTTCGGCTTGGGTAGAGACTTGAAAAGTCCGGATGCAATAGAGGTCGACATTGCAAGAGTTGGCAACTCAAGAGCTGTGCACTCGGGTTGATGAGAAAACGAGGTTGGAGATGCTCGCTTTGGGCTTTTCGGGATCGACTGCGCGGTTGGTCTCTATGGCCACCGTATTCTAGTGCCAAGCCTTTTTGTCTCCTCTCATTGGGAACAATATTGAAGGCATGGAGAAGACGTTTGATTATGCTTGTCCTAGTTGGTAGCAAATACCAATTGTTACAGTGACTGTAGAAAAAAGTTGATAAAGTATCTACGTATACAAAGTGGAACAAGAAAAATGAGAATGGAGCTTGGAATAGTCGCTAACGACCAAATGCTATAATTACAGGTATACAATGGAGTTCAACGGGTCTAAACAGACATCAAATGCGTACGCATGGGACAAACGACGTCCTCTTTATCACCTGTCTCGACGTAGTGTTCACGCCCCTGGAATTTATACCAGATCTTCAACCGCTTGGGCAACAATGGCGCAGGGTCATGGAAACCCAGGATTTGGAACTATTCGACCAAATTAGTGAAATGATTCAGAGAATCGAATTGAGTTCAAGATCTTATTGCTTTGACTTACCTTGATTGACTTTCCGGGAATCACCAATTGTCCCCGATTGACGAGTGCAGCTACAGGAATAGTGACATCAATCACCCGAGGCTCCGTGAACCCATTCTTGGGTTTCTTATTTACTGGCGGTATATACCCGTACTCAGCCTTCAGGATGATAAGGCCGTCCTGTGCTTCCTCTCGAGCTTGCCGTCTCTGTACTTGATCCGACATGAGCTCGATGGCCTGGAGGCTCTCCTCGCGTTTCTTGGGAATGAGCTTCGTCAGTTCACGGTGACGCTTGGCAGCTGCCTGTCGACGCTTTTTCCTATCGCGTGGGCGAATATACCCAAATTCAACTGCGCAGTAGGCTAGCCAGGGGAAGATGGCAGCCAGCGCTGCGGCGCCACTTGTTGCCTCGTTGGCCGGGCAGACGTTGATTGGCAGGTTGATGTTTTGACCGAGTCGGCTCCATGAGACTGTCATCATAATACCCTTATCTGCGATGCCAATTCCGAGGCCAACACGGGTGTATTCGCCAACCCGGCGAACGCCCTTGATGGTCCATTGCAAAGACATGTCTAACCCGAGAACACTTGAGATCTCGAGTCGGACAGCCCGCGCCTGGTCCATAGTTGGCATCGGGAAATAGCCCTCGGAGCTCCATTCAGTCTTTACGGGGTCATCAGCGGGCTTTCCGGAGAAGAGATTCCGCGAATAAGTCAAGACAAGCCCACCACCTCCAGGTGACACCTGAAGATGAGTCTGCCATGATTCGGCTGATCGGTTGATATTGCGTTTCTTCGTGAGGAGATGCCGGGTGTCCTCGTCCAGTTCTTCACTCTCCTCGTCATCATCGTTAAACTCCATAGTATTTTCGGATGGTAGCGATATTAAGCCAATTTGCAGGTTGCTGACCTCGTTCATAGAAGCCACGGCACTCTGAGCTGACATTCCGAGTGAAGAAAAACGCTCTTGAAGAAATTCGGGCCAGTCAATCAAGCCGCTGGACCATGTGAAGACACCGATCTTCCTCTTTGCAATCTCTTTCGAGACTTGAACTTCAAGAGAAGGTGGCGTTTCCAACAGGGAGCGCGTGTGTATACTGGTCGCGCTGACCTGGAATGGCTTGATGCCAGGGAGCGGCTGGAAGGCTCTAGCAAGGTTCACCTTAACAGTTGGCGTGGGAAGAAGAAGAGCATCTATAGTAACCGAAGAATCTCTGAGAAGCGAGAAAGGATGCTTGGCCCAGATTCCCTTAGTTCCCACTAAGTTCTTGAAATTGGGCCTCACGGTAGCTCCAAATTGGAAGTTTTGAGAGGCGACAATTGGCGGCATTTGAATCTAAAAGACTGTTAGCTAACCATCGAGACCGAAGTTAACAGTGCTACATACTGATTCGTCTCCCTCTGTTCCATCCTCGTACTCGATTGTGACTTTCTTCATGGGGCGAGCCAAACCGCCGGCGATACCGGCGTTCAAAGTCACCTGTATATCCTCGAGTTTCTCATCTTGCACTTCTTCGGTGTCCTCGGCATTTTGACTGTCTTCATCTTTCTCTGTCGTCCAAAGTTGCGGAATTGACACCGGTGTCCGGAAGTTATACGAAACACCATATGTTGTCACCTTCGGCGAAGGTATATGGAACGTCACATCTTCATCCTCATCAACTGAGATCATCGAGGAGGCATTGACTCCTAAGGTGATGCTGCCCTAATAGTACGCAAACATTCAATGTTAGAAACAGCTCAGCCGAAGAAATCGTCTGGAAACAGAGAAAAATACATACCCGACTAGAAACTAAGCTCTCAACAGCTTTTCGCTCGCGTTTCTTCATCGTCTTCAAGAACCACCGTCGGAATTCATCCGGCGACATCGCCTTAACGCCAACCTCTTGCCTTTGTGCCTCTCCTCCAACACCCATGGCCCCAAGTTGACCCCATTCCTGCCGAACGCCTTCAGCACCAGCTATATCATATACAGTTCGCTTGTTGGGATCAATAAGCGTCTCATACGCCTCCTGGATATGTCTGAAATGGCTCTCCGCGGCATCGCGGAGGTGCGGCGGCTGCTTGTCCGGATGAAAGCTGAGAGTCAAATTGCGGTAGGCTGATCGGATGTCGGCGTCGGTTGGAGGTGGTTTTCTCGAGAGACCTAGAAGAACGTAGTAGTCGACTTCCTCGGGGTACTCTGCGATCATGCTGTAGTCGGCGTCGAGGCCGTCATCTTCCACCGTTGCGCGGAATTCCCCGCTCGGGAGCTGATCAAATTGAGAGGACATGAGGGCGTTTTGCGCACTCTTTTTCTGTGGTTATATATACACCGTCCTCATTTTGAGGTGTTTGAACAAAAAGCGACAGGACAATGAAGCAAGGTGGAGAGTTGGAATTCCATCGGAGAAACTTTCCGTGTCTCCGCTGAATTGATCCCGCATTGCGACCGAGGCTGTATCTACCTGCACCAGTCATTTAAATGAGAGTAGCTCTATAATATTTTTTATTTAAAAAAGGATTTATGTGTTATATACACGGCCGATTCCCCGCCTTGAGATCGATGGCATTGTTATTTAGCATGGCGCCTGAGACAGCACAATATGTAAACATCCGCGAACGTTATCGCTTGACTCATTCTGTTTTGAATGGCTGAGACAAATCTTATATGGAACTAACTAGTATCTAGCCAACAAAGATATTATTCTTCATGTCGATTATTTACTACACGTCAAACCCTGGTCCATGGTGGTGATAAACGCGTCCTTCTAGTCTCCTTGCCCCAAACAAAACTTACGAGAATTACCACTTTCACGGGTTTTGTCAGTCGGCCTAATGTTGAAAAGAATATCAACTCGCTGCTATTATTAGATCCATGCGTTGTTTTCGCCCCTGGGATTTGGTTGCTCCTGAACATATAGATCACTATTGAAAAAATGTTAACTTCGCTGCTTTATTTCAAGGGAATCCTTTTGAACCAATGCAGATATGCTATTTTCCATATATGTTTCCGAATCTGAATACGTTATCAACATGTCCAAGTTATTGGCTTTGCAGAAGAAGGTGAAGGTAGCAAGATATAAATTAACATGCAGGACCTTCAATTTTCCGATATGCCCTCACCGTTTTTGCTCGAACTACGCACCCTGTTTCCTGAAGAATGAATCAAGTACCGCAGCTAGCATTCATGATTTCCCATGCAGCTCCATGTGACAGCCCTAATTGTAGTCTCTAGGACCCTGCTGATGTAGATGGAGCTCTCTGCGTAGCTTCTGAGGGACTCATCTATTTTGTTTTCTGTCTCTTTAACTTATGAGTATATTATATAGCAAGTCTACGCTATAGAATCCTGAATCAGTGATTCAGCCAGGAGTGCCTTCATATGCTCGGTCGTCTCTAGCCCTCGGGCCTCTAGACCAATCTCCGGAGTAGAAGCCTGAGGCATTCTGCTGCCCCGTGAAAAGGTTCAGGCAACCAAATTTCAGTTGTTTGCTCCGCATAAGACAGGCAAAAGATATAAAACCAATACATAGCCCTCTCTATACTTCCATGTCGAGTGCTCCACTAGTGGGGACTGTATGCGCAGCCCCACAAACACTGCATACTATGCCCACTCGCATCTGTCTTTCCTCGAACACCCATATCACTTGAAAATGAGCTTCTTACACGATCCACCGAGGGGCCAGCCACTCCCTGTATACAGGATCAACCTATCGCTTCCTCCAGAAGAGCGCTATGTATCACTCGCACGACTGTACAAAGACAAGATGCGAGCACTGACCAGCTTGTTCGATGATGTGGTCCACGAAATATCCCCGAAGATCCCCACAAAACCAATTCACTGGCTTGCCTGGCTTTTCCTACGAGGGCTATACACAACCGAAGAGACAGCTGAAATCCGGGGAATCAGTCGCGAAACCGGTATCAATCTTTACATGCTGATTTCGTTCAACGTCGTCCTGGATTTGCTAATGGGATGCACCAGCGGTGGTGTTCGAGTTAGAGATGGAGCAGATACTAAGGTGGTGCATTTCCGGACTCTAGACTGGGGGATGAATCCACTGCGAGATCTGGTTGTGCAACTGGAGTTTGTCAAAGATGAAGCTCCTGACAAGGTACTTGCAACCAGTATCACATATGTTGGCTTTGTAGGTATTCTTACGGGTGTTCGAAAGGATCTCAGTGTTTCACTCAACATGAGAGCTGTGCATGATTCTCGGCGGAATATGGCCTTTTACTTTAACCATCTTTTGGTTTTGTTGGGGGTCCGACAGTCCATCTCATCATTACTCAGACAAATCATTCTACCCGGATCGCATAAATCTCATGGCCGTCTTTCGAATGTTTCGACTATTGATGACATTATCTCGAAAGTCCCTGGTATTCCCACCACGGCAGCCTACCTCATCTTCTGCGACGGAACCACGACCTTGACCTTGGAAAAGGACCTTTGCTCTGCAGTGGCACGCTCCTCGGAATCCTTCATTATCACAACAAACCACGATCAGGATTCCAACTCTGCTACAACTGAAGCTATGGCAGATGGTGGAGGACATGCAGGCGTGCGACTTGCTGGCTCTGAGCAGAGCATAGAAGAATTCATCGACGAAAGCAAGACACGACAAGCCTGTATGCAAAAGAAATGGGATCGCCGAGTTCAAGAACGTATTTCTACCCAACCAGGACTTAAGAAAAGGGACATCAGAGAGACTGCTCCTAATCGGGGAACACATTCGATGCAATTGAGACAAAGGCAGGATATGCCGAGTAGCGTGGAGCCAGGTCCTGAGCTCGAGATGTCTGTCACACAGGACACAGCACTCCGGTGGCTTTGGTCATACCCGATTGTCAATGAAGACACTCATTATGCTGTGCTTATGGATCCAGTGGAAGGTAGTTTTATCTATACTGGACTATTTCCTGTGCCCCCAGGAAGGGATGATATGGAAGAGAATTAGCTATATTAACCGAGGAAAGGTACTACATCTTGCCCTGATGTGCCCTGCTTGATATCCAAGTAGCTAGATTCAGAATACCCTCACTATGTCATAAGGAATGCTCAGGCTTTCTTAGGACTTCGCACCTAGTAAGAAAATCAAATATGCGAAATTGGAGCTCTCTGACAGAAGTCTCGTCATACGGCTAAGAAAGGTCAAGCAACGTATAATAATGGGCAATATACTCAAATGCAGCGTTTTCTTCAGTGAAACTTTTCTCTCTTTCCCCTTCCCCAATTACTCCAAACTAAGTGGAATATGTACATACAAAATATCGCGTTGAAGTACGCGACAAGATTAGAGGCAAACGGTATACTATAATACAGATGCAATAGGTAGCGCTGACGAAGAGAAGCGAAAATAGCCATGAAAACAATATTCCCCTCTATGCAGGGTACCTAATACCGAAGTTGAAACAAAACTGCCCTCGCGCTTGGCATCAGCATTCATGATGTCGAAAAAGAACGCCAGGAAACAGGTTAATATCAGAAGAATAGAGCTATAATGGAAGATGCGAAAATAGAACAGAAATAAGAGTTGGTAGAACACGGGTAATCCGGTGATGCATATCATGTAGAGACATTATGTATTGCCTGAAAATCAAATCATTTCGCCATGCAAGTTTTGAAAAGTTTTCGCTTCGAGTAACAAGACGTTAAAACAGAAAAGAAGATGAATATCAAGATCAAGAGGGAAGAGGGGGGGACCATCTCAGGGATCCTTGATCCAGGCAATATTGCTCTCTGAGAGGATGCTATCATCGACTCGCAGGGCATTCAGAAGTACCGCACGAGGCATCGTGCCAGTGAAAAGATCTTCACTAAGACTGCCAGGGGGGTGGGACGGCAACGCGCCAGCGTGGACCTTCGTCTCGAGAGAAGGACCATCTAGAGCAAAGCCCTGTTTCTCTTCGATGACGCTTCGCTCGTTCAGACAATCGATCATCAATCTCAGTCGTCTCTGAAGTGCGGAGACGAGCAGTAGAGAACTATCCCAGTAGCGACTAAGTTCTTGGACTGTGAGTAGGGCACCTCTGATGTAGGAAATGCATTCTTGTAACTGTGATGCCAAGCCCGCGGCGCTTAAAACGTCCACGGCTGATAGAATGACATAGCCGAGGAATGGATTGAGGAGGGTCATCTGGGGAGGGGCGACATCTGTGCTGGCTCGGGCTGACATGATCTCCTTGGCGAATTGGTCGAACGTAGGAGCTATGCGGAGTACTTCGATGGCGTGGTATCGGGCTCGGTGGATGTATTGACTTAGAACTTCAGTTTGGAGACTCTGATAGCGGGCGTGTCTGTATAGTTTCATCAAAGTAGCGTGGTAAAACAGGTGGATTGAAATTAAGGTGTCCGCTGTTCGAGCCCGGATGCTTCGTTCCAGGTTTATAGATGAGAATGCGAGATGTTCGGGGAGTCGGGTCATCCAAGTGTTTGTTTTGTTGACGATGGTCGTATGGAATTCTTCGGCGAGTCGGGCGTACGCTTCGGGGGGCATGTGTGGTAAACGGATAACGTGGAGGGAAACATCTCCCCAGATAGCCATGAGTTCGATCAAGAAGGCCATTGGGCTGAGGGTTGGGCGATCATCGTCCGAAGATGTCGGTTGGTTTAAGAATGATTGGAAGTAGGGTGCCGTCGCATATTGTTGAGTTTCGTAGATTTCTTCGCGGCATGGAAGCCGTAATAATGCCGCATCTGACGAGATGAAAGTTGACGAGGCGGAATAGAGACTAGAAAAGCGCTATTTGTTTGTCAGCTATCAGAATTTCCGCTTTTCTTTTTTGGCGGATTGCATCTTACGTCAAGCACAAAAGCAATCCAAAATGTTCGACGGCGGCACTCTATCAATGCCTGGGGGTGGAGACTATAGTCACAGGGCTGGTTCTGATCCACGACGACACCCCCAGATTCCAGATTGTAACGAAGTCCAAAGACCGCTCTTCCTGCCGCACCTATCGAATCCCAGGACCCGACCAGTGATCCTGTAGCATAGTACCAGAGACTCATTATGATATGGCTCTGAGCAAGCTGCAGGGAGAGGGCATGCTGGCTTCTATTGATGGCGAATCGTGCTATGCGAGCGTAACGCCTCATAGCTACCACTTTGTCCGACCTGTCTGAAAAGACAGATCCCAATGCCATCATGGCGTAAAGCAACATCTTGTCCTCTGCAGACTTCTTGGGGTATGACTTCAGCCACAAGGCAAACCGCGCATGTGGGAACATGTGGTACAGCCCATCATTCACGTGCATGAAATAACATTCAATATAATGCATCGTCATCTCCGGATCGCTTTCGTGAGGGTCGAGATGCCAGGAGCCCAACAATGGATCATCAGGGTTGTTGTCCTTGAGTTCCCCGAGGATTTCAGAGTATTCCGGTTGGCGGCTGCTCTCGATATGTGCCGATCGTCCGAGGGTATCATCCGTGCCAGGGAAGGGTGGCGGGAATCGGTACGCGCGCGATCTATAGGCTCTGTCCGCATCGGCCATGGTCTCGTATGTAATTTCTGTGCCTGATGGCGTGAGCATAGAGCCCTCTGATGTTGGTGAGTGGCCGCCTGTCCCAGGAAGGGAAGTACCGCTATCGGAGGCTCGGGCGAGGTTATAAAGTGACGGGGAATTGTCCGAAGTAGAATGGCCGGCGGGGGCGTAGGGATCTCTCCCATCGGGTTTGCCAGATGGTCCTGCCGATTGAGATACTCGCATGGAAGCAGAAGCACGGTTTCCACGAGGACTTGAAGAAGTTAGCAACAATCCAAATCAGATTTCTCGCACTGTGGTCTGTCCAATACACCACTTACGCATTCTCGAACCTGCACTCCCGTCCCGATTTCTGGCACTGGTCACATTTAGGCAAATTCGGTTGGCATTTGATCTTCTTCTCACGGCAGATCAGGCATGCTTGCGCAAGGCGTTTTCTCGGCTTTCCGGCTTTGGTAACACCCCAATTTGCATTCACAGGAATCCCGTCAATGGCCTTGGGGCAATGGGATCCATCTGCATAAACGTAGCAGATCCCTTCTCCTTCAATGTATCGCTCGTCAACCACATGTGGTCTCACGGTATTTTCATGTCGACCAGAAGCCTCTGGTGATGATAGTTCCGCACTGGGTAATTTATCATGGAATGGTGTGCCGTGGAAGGGTAATTGGCCGTGCGGATAACCGACTGCAGATGGGTCACTCCTCGTTGGTGTGTGGTGCCTTATATCTGCTGAACTATGCAAAGAGGCCACTTGTGACAACGGAGGCAAGTTGCCAGTCTGTGGTTGTGAAAGGGATTCGGAGTGGCATGTGGCTCTTTCATGCGCGGCAGTTGGTGAAAGCTGCGAAGACAAATTCGGCTCATGACGCAGGTATGCGTACGAAGGTTCACGGCGCTCAGTGCTGGATGAAGTGTATGCTTGAGGGTATGTAGGAGAGTTGGAACCAGTCACTGGGGTAAAAAGTTGCCTCACGGAGGGAAGTTGCTCTGTCCTCTGGCGTCCAATGTCTGAAGGTCTCTCGGGGTTTTCTTGCTGACGCTGGCGCAGGAAGGGATCCGATCCAAATTGTAAACTGGCCGGTGTACGCGGGGGTGGAAGCTGGTATGGGGGTTCCCCGGATTCTTGTAAATTAGCTGGACGCTCGGATTGCTGCTCCGAGGATGGGCCGGTGGTGGGTAACATACGACCGAAGGGTCCAACATAGTAGCCTGACATGACGGTTGTGAGATTGGGCAAGAAAATGATCCACGGAAACCGACTGTCTACATAACAGACTCGATAACCGGTGTGACGAGTTCTGTGTCTCCAATGGCCTGTCCTTCAATGGATGTACTGGAACGGAATGGGTGTGGCCTGGGGTAGTTTGGCGGCGTACTCTCTGAGTATCGCGGAGCCAATTGGATATTCCGGTCCTCAAGAGATAATGCACAGACAAGAGTTCTATTGAAAAGAACCAGACTTAGCAATGAGGTCTCTCAATCTCTCTCCGCAAGGAATCCGGTGCTTCACACGTACCGATTCCACTCTCTTTGGTGCCCAAAGAACAGCAGTAGGATGGTGTGATCGAACCGAAATCCAAAGAGGATTTCAATCAGGCGAGTAGATCGGTCGTGAACGGTTTCGAGGCTCGAATAAGCAACCACGAAGTGAAGGGAGTCGTACAGGTGCTGACAGCGGGTTGGGTATCTGATTTTATGCGCTCAAAGCACGCAGCTCTTTCCAATGTGCATACTCGGCCGGTGAAATCGAAAGAGAAAGGGATTGAAATTGGCTTAAGAGACCACCATTTGGCAATATTCCCGAGCAATCACGGTTTCGGGTACATAGTTTCCGTACCGGGGTGGCTGCAAGATCCTAGTAGTTCGCATTAAAAAGTGTAACGGTTTGCCAGGCTTCAGCCTAGTGTCCAGGATGTTGCAGGAGTCCACCAGCCCAAGGAGTCACGGAAACCGGGCCGTCGTTGCTGTAGAGAGAGCCCCGCGCTTGTAGCCCAATCCAAGGATCACGGACTATCGAGATAATCGGAAGTAGCACGGATGATCAAACGGCTGTAAGATCTTCGGTCCGGGATATCGAGGACAAGCACGGCGCAAACAGTGGCGTCCAACATGTGAGTAGACCTAAAAATTGGAAATTCAGAGCACGGCTCCTAGGTCCCCCGGGCGAAAAAGAACCAGTCCCTGATAGCACCCGATATAGGAGCCGGTGGCACGCTTGATTATAGTCAAAATAGCCTCGCAAGAAGCGCCGCCTACCAAGAAAAAAGAAAAGAAAAAAACGGCTAAGAGTAGCGCGGTAGATTCCAGAGACTAAGGTAACGGGGCGGTTCTTCTCCAGGTATCCCCTGACGAGTTTCAAGCCTCAGATTCCCTGCAAGAGGGTAAGATTTCGGAGATCGGAGAGATAAGAGGGGGAAAGGGGGGAAGACTAAAGTAACCAAAGAAGCAGAAAGAACAAAAGAAGCCAAATCGAAGCTGAAGAGGAGGAGAAAGGAGGGGAATGTTGTCAGGCTTCAAAAAACAGGAGGGCCAAAGCAGTATGCCCAAGTGTATTCGAGGTACACTTTGTAATTACGCTGCCGTTTTGAATATTTTCTTTTCTTTTCTTTTTATTTTAGCTATTTATGATTCGAAACCGATCGACAGTGGAATCTAAACTTTTTTGGATTCACTATGTCTTCGAAACGCCGATGGAAAATTCTAACAGAGCCCCAGGGATCTTTTCTTTTTTTTATGCACGTCCGTTTACGCCGGAAAACGGTGCCCGAAAGTGATCTAAATACCAGGTCTAACCAAAAGTCCTGAAGCCGTTTCCATTTCTAGTGGGTACTACATACGGTTCCTGATGATATTGGCATTCGGTCCTCAGACTTGGCGTCATACCCGATCCCAAATACAAGATATGGCGTAATCTGGGACCTGATCTAACGGCAATTGCTTTTGGACTACCGTTGTTGTCCCGAGTGGGGAGATGTAGTCCCATGGTCACTTACGCATTGGAAATCATGATACAGTATAAAATGACAAACAGTGGACTTCCCCTGGTTCTTCCGCTATTCCATAGTTGCCCCAGTCTACTGCATCTTTATATTAATCACGAATGACCCACAGGGATCAAGGATGTACAAAATTTGTACACTCTGGCCACTTTTGCTGGGCGCAAGGCCTGCGTGGAATATCCACTCTGCAGTACTTCTGCAGCATGACCAATCTCATGTCCTGGTGAGGATGTGCACCAATAGAGTCCGCTCGGGGTTTGCAATCAGATCTCACAAAATGCGAAGGTACATTTGAGGGAATACGGCGCCTCGCTATATAGGGAGAAAGTAAGCGTGTACCGGCAATATCGAGAAGTATACGGATTCATTAAATGTTAGAACGTCAGACTGGTGAGTCCCGAAGGTAAAATTTTGCGGTTCATCGGGGGAAAGTCCAAAAAGAAAAGTAAATAAATATTAATAACAGGTAAGGTTGTTTTGGACTCGGAATGCTGGCCGCGAATACCCTCACGGTGGGTCTGTTAGGTGCCTTCGGCCGGACAGTGGCGTGGGCGACTAGATGCCTAGACGGGCAAATCCTCCTTCCAGCGTAGGGGCCGCAGGGCTTATCTCACTTTTGAATAGCCTCTGGCGAAGATCGCTGGACAGCGTGGTCCATAAGTGGAGAGATGGCTTCACTTTTTTTTTTTTTTTTTGCACAGGGACCGTCGGTTGAGGTCCTCGGGTCTCCATATTTTCCAACTCCGAACTGCTTTATACTCTATGGAGAGTCAAAGCCGAGACCATCGGTATTATATTGCTAAATATTTGGGTCACATGTGGGATTGAGTTCGGAGACAGGTACCCAGGCAGGCATGTGTCGGTGCAGATTCTTACGGCGTGATACTGTACACTGTATTATATTACTCTTAAATCAAAAGGATGGACAACTGGTTTACACGCTGATTCATACCCAATGGTAAACGAGCTTCTGTAGCATGTATGAGGTCGGGGATGCACGACAGGGACCCCTGGCCTTCTAGAGTGCCTTTGAGCAGGCCAGAACCAATAACTCGCTAGAATTGTCTCCCCACTTGGTTTCTTACAGAACTCCAACGGCGATGCACTCCGGAGACCACGTATTATGTCTCAAGTCCTGGCGATCCGATCTGCAAGCCGTCACTCGGGATCGTCGTCCCATTTGGACTCAGCCCCTTCTTTAGGGTGATGTGCGTTTCCTGTTCTAGGGAACGCCTGGGACGAAGTGACGCGGGAAGCTTTTCTTCTTCGCTTCCCTTATACTTTTATTCGCCCCAGAATTTTTCTTACCCAGTTTTTCTCGGGACTTCGCCGTACTCCAACTCGGCAGTTTTGAGCCAATTCCCATCTGGTATTTCCACCCGAGATCATAGGCCCAATTCTCCGAATAAATACCGACGGGAGAAATAATCCGTTGAAAAGGGGAGAGTTGAGACATTTGTATAAAGAGCAATCCAAACCCACAGTTAGGTAATTAAGTTTCAAGGCCTGTTAGGGCACAATTATGTACTCCGTACCAAGATCAACATATTGAATGTCTCTCATTGGGGTCTAGACTAAAGCTGTGGCGTGATTGGAACAAACCTTCGTATGGAGTACGGAGTACGGAGTACTATAAATCTTTGTATTCGATCTGCTACCCTGCTTCCACACTAATCGCGCTACTGTATTGCAACTCTGCTACTGCACTCATTGATGTTTTGCGTCTTTCGACAGTCTAGTGTCGGGTCAATCCTGATAGCGCAAGGCGCTTTGTTCCGCACCCCTGAACCAATTCGTATTAGGTGAGACATTCCTGTAGATAGCATTATGATCTGCGAATAGAGTACAAGACGCCATTCAATCTGAGCGCGGTTACAAGTGTATAGTATGCATCTCCCACACATTCGGCAGATCTTACCGAGACCGCTCTTTGGCATGTTTCATAGGTACATTTTTAGATTTTCACTCCTTTTTATACGAGGCGCTCGGATCGGAGAATTTTCCTCCTCCGATATCTCGGTTATTATTGTGATGTTGCATTACGATTTAGGGACTAGGCCAAATTCCGAGAAGAACAAACCATTAGACCCATTTACAAGTATGTAATAGCCCCAAATCCAGACGTCATTTCAATTAAGCGAAAAATGGAGCTCTCCCACTTCCCACCATCTCTCCCTAACAAGTATAGTCATATCTGACCAGCCAGTCGGATGGCACTGTCTGCTGAAGAAACTGAAGGAGAAAGGCTATTCACTGCGAACTGACGTACAGTGTACATCCTTCCCCCCCGCCACTCCGGGCACGCAAGTGCCTAAGACTATCAGCCGCGGACCCTGACGGTGTTCTTGGCAATCTCCGTCGCACGTCCTCGATCGCCGTGCGATATCCAGAACTATCGCTCGGTTAGCGATGCCCGTTGGCTTTGCATCCGGTAATTCCATGGCGTCCGTGCTGCCACAGACATCCTTGGACTTACTTAAGTATAGCTTTAACTATTGACTAGTAAGGGCGTCGTAGAACGGACCAGATACGGGAAATACGGGCCAAACCTTGTTCTATACCGTTGTGGATAACGTTCGGTTGGCTACAAGCGGTATATGATGGACTCTGCATGAATAGCTGCAAAGCAAGAACCGACGGGGCAAAACAAGTGCAAAGTATAATAGATGAAGATCATATACAGTAGCATGCGAAATGCCTCTTCTCCATCTTTTTGTCCTCCCAACCGCAGTTTACCCGGCGTTTTCAGCTTGAGTGGAATGACATCCTCCCGTTAGACACGAGATTCAGCGACAGAGGTAGAGAGAGAAGACCAAAATGCCGTGCATCTCTTAGTATAGCTTTTGCGCAGAGGATCCATGATCCTCGAGGGTTGTTAGGCGTGCGGGTCGACCTACAGTTTGTGGCGTCATATCATGCTGGCTAGAAATTGCTTTGCGCTACTTTGACAAGCGAGGCTGCGTGTTTCACCGGGACTTATTTTTATGCATAATTTAATCTTTCGTTGTTGCCATGTGCTGCCTCTTTGTGCCTAGGTAAGAGGGTAGGTGGCATGTGATGATTGGATTGGATTAATGGGATATCATTTGCTCGATCCTGGCTGGGTCCACAAACATCCATGATTAGGAAAGTTGAAGACTTACAGTCTCTTTTGGCTGGGTTTGGAGAGTAGAATATAAATGACAGGGATATATATATCTGCCGACAATGAATAATCTCGTCTTATCGGAAGTAATGAGAACATGGCTGACATGGCTGAGTAGAGGTCATTCCTGGAAGATACGTCGTCATCAATAATAATGCATACTGAAGAACAAGATATCAGGGTTGCAAGTGCTGCTCAACTCGTAACAACGGCAATGGATACTGCAACAGCAAGAGTTAAACAGATGCTGTCTTAGTGGGCAAGATACAAACACAACGAGACCCCAATCTGTCTACGTTACGCAACTCACACAAGTATACAAAGATTTCGAGGGTCACTTAGTAAGAACAGAACCGATCACATTACTACTCCAAATAGAACCCATGGGTATTGCAAAAAAGGCATTGATTCATTTTTGCTGACTACACATTGTCAACTTGCGTTAACAAGTAAATAGCAGGGGCGAAGAAAACCGCTTAGTTCTCGTAGAGAGTGTTGAGGAAAGCCTCGGCGGGAGCAGTAGGCTTGCCACCCTCGACGGACTGCTGGCCGAGCTTCTGCTTGGAGTAGGCAGCGGCGTAGGGGTTGAGGCGGAGCATGACCTGCTTGTTGCGGAGAGGGTTCTTCTTCTGGACGTTGACACGCTTGGTGCGGGCCTCGCCCTTGGGGGCCTTGAGAACGGACTGGATTTCGGAAGAGTTGATGAGGCGGGACAGGTCGGCGTTAGCCACCAAGTTGGAGGGCAGGAGGTAGTCCCGCTTGAGAGCCGAGGGGGTGGTGGTGGTGCCGTAGACCTGGTCGAGGGCCTGGAAGGCGGAGGAGGTCCAGACGACGAAGCGGCCGAGGTGACCACCGGGGGCGAGCTGGAGGAGGTTGAGGGAGAAGACGGGGGAGGTCTCAACACCGGGGATGTTGCGGAAGGCCTTGACGAGCTCCTTGCCGTCGGTCTCGGGGTTGTAGACAACGAGGGGACCGCGGCGCTGGCGGAAGCGGCGGTTACGGAGCTTACCCTTACCAGCACGGAGCTTGCGGGACTTCTGCACCTTGACGAGCTCAGGACCGGCACCAACAGCCTGGAGGAGGGCAATGGCGGCCTTGGTCTTGGTCAGGGCAGCGTTCTCGAAGGTCTTGGACTCGATGACGAGGGGAACCTCGGGGACGTTGGCGACACGGTGACCGCGGGCGAAGAGGAGAGCGGGGGAGGCAGAAGCAGCCAGAGCGGAGGCGGTAGCGAAACGACTGCAAGTTCATTAGTCCACCATAACTCAATGCACCGATTTCAAAGGTGTTCATACCGCTGGCCAACGTTGACCTTCTGGTGCCACTTGCGCCAGACCTTGGTAGGGGCGAACATGCGACCGGAACGGCACTGGTTACCGAAGGCAGCCTGACCAGCACGGTGAGTACCACCACCAGAGACACGAGGAATACGGGCGACAGCACGACCTATTCAATCCAGCAGATCCAGTCAGTTATTGATTCCCATATGATTAAAATCTATATCCCGCAAACGTCTTCGCTGTCTGGACTCGATTCTTCAATGTCGAAAGGTGTGCAAACGTACCGGTACCCCAGGACTCAGCAGAGGTCTGCTCACCAGCCTTCTCGCTCACGGCGTAAGGCTGGCGCTTGTTCTTGGCCATACCAACGTGAACCTGCCTGTAGTGCGACCGTCAGTATCTCCAACGATCAATTCCTTCATTTTGGCGAGCCATACTGGACGATATCCGGACGGATAGGAGCAGAGAACACGGTGGGCAGGGGGTGAGAGGCCCCGGAGGGCTTGCCCTCAGCCGTGGCGATCGAGACAGTAGGGCGGGAGGCCATTGTTGCTGGTCGGTGTCGAGGTGAGGTTGAAGATCCAATCTCTGCACTTTGGGGGCTTCACCTGGATGTGGATTTTTTCGCTTAGTGAGAAACTGTGGTGGGGCGGCCAACCCTAAGCCCTGACTGCCTGATATGGACTAGCGGTCCCATCATATCATCCACACTCACGTGACCAGAATGTGATGTCACGTGCTTCCACTTAATGTTTACTCCCAGCCAACTTGCTTAACCGGCCATAAGTATGGTCGGTCGTCAGATATCGATTTTGATTAACACAGACAACATTTTATTCGTGTCTGAAGAAAATTACTTCATCCAAGCTCTGATATGCTATCTAATCAACCGAACCTTCAACGCCTTTCGTGACAGGAGTCTTGAGGTACGTCTACTGGCCGTCGCCACCAAAGCTCCCTATGCTATCGCAACTATTTTATAAAATTCAACAATGTCTTAAATAGAAATGCCTAACTTACAAGTTACTGATCTTCTAGTATGGATTACTGCAACACAAGACTTATACAATAAAGATGATTGTTCATTGAAACTCGAGAGAAACTCTCCGAGCCGCATCTCCTAAATATACAAGATGAAAAGAAGTGACATGTGCACCGAAATGAAAAGGGTCCCTCCAGGTCAGATAGCCGGCAGTGGAAACGAAGTAAAAGAGAAAGAAGAGAAGAGAAGAGAAATAAGAATATTCAGTCCAATGGAGGACAAAGACAACATCTGATACCAGCAGATCAATTTGTCTCATAATCATGCATGGTGTCCGCCAATGTGACGCTTACGGAAGCGCATAGCCGAGACATGGCGAGCCTGCATGGTAGCAGTGACGGAAAGATCAGAGCTCAGACCGGCTCCACACTGAGTGCCTGCAGCCATCTGCTGCGAGGCAGACCAACTACCATTCGCACAGCGTTGGAAGGAGGTGCCTGCGATGCAGTTCCACTGGCCCTCGGAGCTGCAGGCACCCGTTAAAGTGCCAGAGCTAGTAGTGGAGCCGCCAGTAGAAGGCGATGGTGAAGCAGGTTCAGCCTGCGAGGCGGAGGGAACAGCGTCAGGGGCAGAGGAGGCGCTTGATGGGGTAGCGACAGGAGCCGGGGCCACGGAGACAGAGGCAGTTGCGCTGGGAGCACTGGCGCCAGCAGATGAAGAAGAGCCGGAGGTACCGGAGCTGGAGCCAGAGTTGGAGCCAGAGCTGGATGAGGAAGATCCGGAGCTGGTGTCACCGTCACCGCCAAAGGTAGGGGTGCCAGTGCATGCCTCAGAACCTTCAGCGGCGAGGTTGGAGGCTTTGCCGAGGTACTCGACGTATTCACCTGGCTGGGGGAAGCGGATATCAACGCCCTCCTTGGTAGTGCAGCCGTTGACGTTGGCGACAAACATGGGAGGGAAGCTGGAAGAGCGCTTGTCGAAGATCTGGGTGGAGTTGGAGTACAGTTCGTTGTCCTCGTCGATGGAACGCTTGGAAGAGCCGCCAGAGACGGTGATGGGAGCGCAGTTCATGTACATCTCGCGGTTGCCGATGCGGTTGAACCAGGTCCAGGCCAAGGTGTACTTGCCAGCGGCGATGCCCTCGGGGATCTTGAAGCTGAAGGTGTCGGGGTCGGCGGCGTTGGCGCCGCCGGACAGGTTGCCGTCGACGTTAGCAGGGCAGCCACCTTCGAAGGACTTGATCACCTTCCATTCGGAGCTCTTGGATGGCTGCAAGTCGGTGGTCAAACTGATCTGGCAGGACCCGCCGCCGTGGGTGGCGCTTCCTACGAAGGTCAGAGGGTGGGACTCGCCAATGCCGATGACGGTCTCGGTGTCGGGGGCCTCGAAGGCATTGTCACGCAGTTTGCAGGGGAAGTCGCTGCCGTCGGCTGCCAGAGGAGAGTTGTTAAGTGTGTCCTTGCTGTAAGGAGTGGGCGAGGACATAATCATATGGGCGCTGGCGGCAGAGGCGCCGAGCATGGCAGCCAGGATGTTGGACTTGGTGAACATCATGGTGAATGTAAATGGACTTTTGGGTTTCAAATCCGGTTCGACGGAAATTTACAGTTGCAAGTGAATTCGATTCGTGCCAGACGAATGGAATCAAGAGCAGTCAAAAGAATAGGACCTTGGTGGTTTGGTCGAAAAGAATGAAGAGCTGCAGGATGTTAGTGCTTGAAGCGAAGATATCATATTAAACAAGAAGGAAGAAGGACAGGAGCCTGGAATTATATCAGGCGGTAGATATAGAACAATCCCAATGACAACCTGTTGAATAGGATTCTGATATCAGACGAAACAAAATTCGTCATGAATTCTATTCACCAGCCCCCAGACAATAAAACCAAATAAAGACCGGAGACAAACAATACCTTTTGTGGCCAAGTGACGCGATGTCTTAGAAACAATAAGCTAAGCTTTTGATCCCAGCGTCTTTGATGAATGTGAATGTGTTTTCTTTGTGAATCAGAAGGGACTGTCGGAGTCTGCCACAGGCAAAACCACCAAGAAAAAGGAGAGAATGAAACACAGGACTAGCCTGGTAGTCGAACCGTCAAAGTAAGAAAAGAAGAGACTGGAATGTACAGAGAAAAAAAGGAAGAACCATGCAGCATTGGCCGGGGGTTTTATATTCATACATGGAGAACTCTCGGGCCCTCTAAGCGACAGCGGAAATCCGACTCTTGGAATATGGAGACGATGCTACACTGCATAGCAATTAACTGGACACGCTCGCCAGGTTTGATCTCCTCTTCAAGGCCAAGGTATCCCATCCGCTTGGTCGATCTGTACTTCCGCTCAGGTGGAGGCAAGCTGGGATGTTTCATGTTCGCCTCCACTCAGAAGAGAAAACTGCTAGATCCGACAGAGAACATCGAACGTAAACTGCTAGCCCACAACCAGTAGGAGACTCGGTATTAACCCCCAGACCCTGCGATCTGCCGGTCTGAGGCTGGGCGGCTGATGACGGGCCAACCACGATGCCCAGCGGCGCAAGGCACCACCTCCACTGCCCCTGGCTTGTCGCACCATCAACCGCTGGCACACGATGTTTCTATGTATTGGCTGTGGCTGTAGCCGCCCTCCTTTTTTGCCAGCGGGTCGAGGACAAATCACTCGGCAGTTTGATGTTACGCTGCCTGACAGATCGACCCCTATGCACCTCTTCATCCCCATCCCAGTAAGAATTGGCCTAACGTCTTCCCCTTGCGACCTGTACAAACCCAAAATATCTTGCGATGACGCAGCATCAATCTACTCAACGTCAAAAGCTCAAAAGCCCCGTGTCATTCGATTCAGCCCTTACTGGATCTGCCGGCATTTATGTGGGGTATGCTTCGCGCTATAACTTCCATCCAATCTCGCGGACCAAAAGGTGGAATAGTATAGTTCTCTGTAAAGTCCGCGATCAATCTATATTGCCCAGTCTCCTTAGGTACGGTGCAGTTCTAGCGTCTGAAGATCCTCTCAGAACCTGCCAAGCGAGCATGTTGCAGTTGACAGACGTCAAGCTCCGTCAATTTCACAAAACGTGGTCCAGGATCCGATAGATCCACCTCTCTTTACTGAAGATGTACATAGCGGATCTCAAATCCGTCATTCTATGGAGGAAAAAGCAATCATCCCGAGCGGTTCCAAGCGAACCCCCCATAACCTCTTTCTAGACCCGTTTCAGATATACAAAATGTCGGCATTGAAGTTATCCCCGGGTCAAACCCTGCAATTTCAACAGATCACAAATCTCGGCTATCCCAACCTAGAACGACTGGAGACTCCGATCTATGTCCGAAGCAAGATCGCAATCCATATCTACAACTGCTATGACTCGTCCGTTGCACTACACTGTACCATGGCTGTCTCCCGCCATGGGAACTAAATGTTGATCTCTATCTAACTATACTTACTCTTAACCTTCATATACTCATTTCTGACTTCTATCGCATGGGCATGACTATTTCGTTAAGCGTCTACAGTGGGTATAACCTCAAAATTGAGCAGTCAAATGTTGGATCCGCGGGATCTCGGTGTGAGCGTGGAAATTGCCAGTAGACCCTGCATCATGGCTGCAGACCGTTCGCACATGCTGCTATCCCTCACAAACCGGTTTCTGCTGGTCCTACACGATGGCTATCCGAGTGTCTCGGGTTGTGGGTGGATGCTAGAGCTGAAAATTTGACGGTCGACTTGGACCTGGACTTGGACCCAGTATGTCGTCTTTGACCGTGTTTACTCGATTTGGAATATGCGCTATATCGGAAGGCTCTCTTCGAATGATTGCCCGGTCGTACATTCGATGTAGAGATTTTCTGACTCTGTCATTTGGGCCTTTGCGCAGAGGTCATGCCAGACACTTGTCACATTGTGCCCAAGTAAACAAGAGGTCCCACCGTATGTTTCATTTGAACTGGAGAGCCCCGGTTGACGCTTGATTGAGGTGCAGATCTATTTGTGCGGGCAGGTGAGGCGCTGACATTGTCTCGAGGTGGTGAGATGAGCCAAGCAAGCAGCATTTCCCCTCTCTGGTCAAGTTCGGTCATGGATAGATGGCAAGTGTCTCCTGATCACTTTCAGGAAGGTCGTATCCGAAGATACTAGACTCATCGATGCCTGCTGAGGTTCCATCAAGCATCCCGTCAAACGGGCACGGCTGTTTCATCATCCCTGTCCTTTATGGGGCCAGACGTCTCCTATGTGAAAAGACATCACAAGAGGAAATCCCAAGGACTGAAGCAATCAAGGATAGAGAACGAGTTTCTCCCTCATTTCTTGCCCTTCTTCTTTCCCTTTTCAGCAGCAGTCCCCTCCTCCTTGGTGAACCCACCCTTGACCAACGCATCACGACCAACATCATTGATGAGGCGGAACCGCGCCGGGCCAAGATGAATCCCACCATACCACCGCGTAACAACAACAACCACATTCCACACATCCATCAACTGCATGACATGCAATAACCGCCCTCCAGCAGCAGTTTCCCCATCATCATCATAATCCTGAACAATCGTCTCCCCCTCCTCCCCATTCCCTTCAATCTTCCTCTGCCGAATCCGCCACGCACTAATATTATGCGTCGCAGCAGCAACCTTTCGATCAGTAGCAGTAAGATGATCAAGGTAAGCCTGCGCCTGCGCAAGGCTCTGAACTCGCGCAACACGACCCACAAACACAGACTTCTTCTCCGTAACAACATCCGAAAGGATCCAATCAGGCGGGCTATCAAGGCCAAACGCATCACGAAGCGATAAAGCCTCAAAGCTCTCTGCCGTCGCGTCATCAAATGTCGATGCGTCATTTTGGGTTTGCGCTTGCATTGACGAATCTCCCGATTCACCAGCCTCGTCTTTACCTCCTCCGCCGATATTCAATTCCGGGAAGACCTCCACAGCTTCGCTGATCAAGTCGAACAGACATACCGCCCCGGGCTGCCATGTTCGCTGGACAATATCTTCCAGTACATCAATTGCGATCTTGCCCTCGCCGCGCGCTGCTGTCGATGCTGTTCCTATCACTGTAGGTCTGGAATCGGGGTATGAGGCTTCAAACCCGACGATAAATGACAGATGAGGTTGGCCTGGGATTTGGAGGTTCACTGTTGTGTGTGCAGTGTCGTTGGATTGCGCAGGACTGCCCAGGTCGAGCGTGTTCTTGGATGTGCCGTTGGGGGTGCGCGTTACTGTTACTGTGTCTGGTTCGTAGATGGCATTTACTGCTTCGATTTCTTCGGCTAGGTCTTGGTTTTCGGGGGTGGGTGACATTGTTGGGAGCTTGAGCTCGTGCGGGGTGAAGATTGCGGATTGTGTCGGAGATTAACTATGTTGGCTATGGTCAGGCATTCAGGCATCAACTGGCTTTGTATTCTTAGTTGAGAACTACCGAGACTTTTATATGACACTTTCTTTAATTAAAAGTTTATGTTTGATTGGGATTTCTTGCAATACAGACATTAATAATAATTGGAATTTCTTTGTTTCAAATACTTTACGCCAAGCTGAAAGAACCTTAAAAACGGATTCATTGGCAAACAAGTCGGGTATATACAGTATATACAACTCACACATCCAATGCCCTCTTCAAATGCAGCGAAGCCAGCTTAACAACAGCTTTAGCAGTCGCCGTCCCCCGAATAGGCTCAAGCATGACATAATCATGGATCTGCCCATCAGCCGTCAAAATGGCAGTCTCGACACCAGCCTTCTGCAACCTCAAACCAAAAGCCCGACCTTCTCCAATAAGGGGATCCGCACCGGACAAAAAGATAGTGGTCGGAGGAAACCTGGATAACTCTTCATCCGACGCATACTTCAATGGCGAAGTAAGTGCATTACGTCTGTCCTTGTCGTTCGGTAGAAAGGCACCTATCATCCAGTCCATCGTGCGTTCGGTGAGGTAAGGACCGTCCTTGTAGATTGTATATGTGGCACTTTTCTCTGCTGTGTCGGTGACTGGATAGAAGAGGATTAGTTGGCACAGCTTGATAGGTAAATCGCGGGTGTGGGCTAGTTGGATCATTGCGATGGCCATGTGGCCTATGGGTATAAGATATCAGTTAGGGCCCTTCCTGTTCGTCAAAAGAAGTGGTTTTACCGCCAACACTATCACCAGCCAGAGCGAGCGTATCTGTCTTCAAGTCATGCTTCTCCCCATTCTCAGCAATATACTTCAACACCGCGAATGATTGCTCAAATTGAGTAGGATACTGCTTCTCAGGGGCAGGGCTATAGTATGGGAATACTACAGCTGCGCTGGTTTGTCGTGCAAGGTCTTCCATCAAAGAACCGTGAACAGTGGGGCTGGAATTGGTGAGTATTATTGCCATCTGAAAGGGTGACAAAGTTAGGGCAATACCTTCCCAGGATCCAGCCACCTCCATGCGTGTAGAAGATAGCAGGTAGATAACCACTGGCATTTTTTGGTCTGAATATGATCGTCTTCACGTTGTAGGACTCATAGGGGACCTCGAACTCTTCTTGGGAGACATCAGGCGCTGGTGTGTGTTTCTGAACGTCCTCGAGGATTTGGCGTGCTTCTGTTGGGGTCTTTTCGTATAGAGGGGTACCTTTGGAGAGCTCGTTGACAAAGGATTGGTTGACAATATCCAAGGATGCGGCCATTGTGATCGTGTGTATCCTTATTTGGGAGTACAGAGGGGTTATGTGTCATATATATATCGCAGCACTATATCAGTGGGAACATTGTCAATCTGATTTCTATAGATAGAAGATAATCCTGGTGGACCTGGAATACCCTGAGAATTCCAATGATCTATAATATACAGTCTCACCTCAGCAAGCTCAATTACGATAATGGTAGTAACGTCTTACGTCTCAAAGCTAGCGCCAAGCCCATGCTAAAAGGATGGCGAGCAAGGATATTTCGTAGATGAAGAACTATCCAATCGCTAAGATCGCCTTCTAGTCTAAATTTTAGTAGACTATCGGGAAAAAGCCTTGGTGGGAGGTCCAGATGTCAACAGACCGGTTTTGGAATGACCCAATTGTGAGATGGACAATGCTACTCTCATGACGTAGTAGGATCTAGATCAATACCTAATAATCAGGAATTAGAATGAGTAAGTAGCGGATTTTATTTTACACCGTTACCTGGCCGAAGATCTTTTAGTAGACTAACTTAAGCTATATATGTACCTTATGTCTTAAGCATTCGAACCGGATGAAATTTTTGGAGGCAGCATTTGATCTTTCAATAAAAGGGCATTTTCTTTTCTCGATCCCTAGAGCCTTCAAGTCCAGGGCGTTGTCTACTTATGCCACATCATAAATTGTCTCATACAGTAAGCTCGCCATAGTAGAAATGTATCACCACATACACCAACCACTCGGTTACAAGAGACTAGAGTCACTCTTCCCCCATCTATCGCCATAGTGTCACTGGCACGAGATAAGATAGGCTTCCAATGGCCAATGAAGCCAGTCCCAACCTGTCAGATCGAGTTAGACGCAGAGAAACCCCCGGTCTGGCGTTGCTTATCAAGCACTGCGGGGGGTGGGCCGGGGTTTCCGATTGTTTTATAATCAATTTGCTTCTGGTTACAATTGTCCTTTATTTCCACTCTATTTCCACTCTATAGTTGCTCTATTTACTCCATTTTCTCTAATTCGCACGTTTATACTGTCATATGCAGGCCCGTTGAATTGGCGCCGATCACCATGACAGCAACAGCTCCACTCCCATTGGACTTGTCGCACCACCTATCCTACGCGACGAAGAACAAGAAACCAAGCAGCGTCAAAGATTTCTATAAATACTTCCAAATTCCCGGAATCGCTAATTTCGCAGGAGGTAAAATACACCTGAAAATATCTTAATCTAAATACCATGTCTGACAATCTCTACAGGTTTGCCACACCCATCCTACTTCCCGTATGATACACTCGAAGCCAAAGTCGCGCTACCACAACGCTTCCAACCAACCAACAACGAGGACGTCAAAACCTCAGTGCGAGTAACAGTTCCAAAAGAAAGCCACACAAAAGATGTTTCACGAAGAATCGACCTAGCCACAGCCCTACAATATGGCACCGCTGAAGGCATCGCACCTCTATCAAAATTCCTGCGACAATTCACACGCGAACATCTCCACCCAAATATTCCATATGCAGGTGGTCCCGATATCATCATGACCTGCGGATCGACCGATGGCTTCCACAAAGCAGTCGAGGCGTTTACGAATATATGGAACCCCGACCGGGACTGGATCCAGCAGCGGGAAGGTGTCTTGTGCGAGGAGTGGGCGTATATGAATGCCATTCAGACGGTTCGGCCTCGCGGACTGAATATTGCCAGTGTTGCGATGGATGGCCAAGGTATGCTTGCTACTGGTAAAGGTGGATTGAAGGATGTGTTGGAGAATTGGGATTTCCGGCGCGGTCGCCGGCCTCATTTGATGTATACTGTAGCGTAAGTATATAACCTACTTTGGACGGAAGTTGTCGTGGGTGGATTACACTAACTGTCTGTTACAGAACCGGCCAGAATCCTACCGGAGGAACACTTTCAGTCGAGCGACGAAAGCAGATCTACGCCCTCTGCCAGAGATACGATGTGATTATCGTCGAAGATGAACCGTATTGGAATTTGCAGTTTCCATCTGCGTATGAGAAGACTGTTCATTATCGTGGCTCGTCTCCTGAGCCCAATTTATATACCAAGAACTACAACGCAGAGGGCAAGTCGTCAGGCTATACGTTCCTGGATTCACTGGTTCCCTCATATCTATCTATTGATACCGAGGGCCGGGTAGTGAGACTGGACACATTTTCCAAGACCATCGCACCTGGCAGTCGACTTGGCTGGATTACAGCGCAGCCAGCATTTATCGAGCGCTTCGCTCGGATTACGGAGGTTACTACGCAGCAGCCATCTGGATTTGTTCAGTCTCTAGTGGCAGGGATGATCTTTGGAAAGTCAGAAGAGGACAACACCGCTCGGTCGAAACAAGTGTCTTCAGGTTGGCACATGGACGGTTGGATCCGCTGGTTGGAAGGTCTACGCGGTAGCTATGAAAAGCGCATGCAAGCCATGTGCACGGTCCTGGAAGAGAACAAGTACCTTTTCCACAAAGGGTCGACAGTAGATCATGCCGAGGACTGGGAGGTGATAGATCGGGTGCAGATGTTTGACTTTGTCTGGCCGGTGGGCGGCATGTTCACTTGGATTGAGATCTTCTTTGATACCCACCCCTTGCGTTCTCAGTTCAGTGGCGAGCGGCTCTCCAAGGCCTTTTGGATCCATCTGACCAAGAAACCATATCTGTGTCTTGTTGGGCCGGGTAGTATGTTCGCTGCAACGCCCACATCTGCTGAGAAGGCGTACCGATACATTCGGGTGGCTTTTGCTCCCATGGATCTCGATGCGGTGGCGCCTTTCACCCTTAGATTGGTGGAGGGTCTACGGTCGTTCTGGCAGTTGAAGAACCTCGACGGCTTAAGTGGCGATGAAGAGGCCGAGATGGCCATGGAGGCTCTCCGACTAGGGCCAGGCATCAACTTTCTAGGGACCGGGTGCTGATAGAGATAATGGTTTGGGATAGAACATAGGGTCTCGGAATGCATCAGAACGCCACCATTCAAACGTTTCCATCCAGTAGCCGGATTCAAGATCCCTGTGCTGGTCGCACAATGTAGGACAGTACGGATGTCACAGATGAAAGCTAAGATTGCATCTATTTCCCTACATTAGCGCGAGTCTTTTTCCCCCGATCATCAAAAGGGAAAAGAATGCATCGCCACTTACTCGTGACCGTGGCTGTCTGGGTCTCGTGATTGGTCTGGTTGCCTGACACACCCACTTCCCCAGATCTCATCTCTCTCTCTCTCTCTCTCTTTTCCTCTTCTCATTCTCATTCTCTCCAATATCCTCTCTTTTGTATTAACAACTTCTTATCTTCATGATTTAAGTCTAGCACGGATCTCTCGCTTTGTTCGCTTGAGGGTTTTGTCCCTGGTGATCCTCCGCCCTACATACCGATCACGGAGATCTCCACTGTCTATCGCACTAGTACCCAAAGCCACCGAACCTCCGACATCATACATCATACCCACCGTTCGTTTCAGTTATACGGACAACAGCACTCTTTACCTCCGATATAACCCTCCACCATGTTAGGAGAGGGCCGCGAGGAGGCCGCCAGGCTCTATGTACCACCTCTACTCGAGGATGACGATCGTCTTGTCGATCCCGACACTTCCGAAGACCTACCGCCGCCCGACGTTGAAGCAGGCCACGCACTTCCCATCTGGCTACGGGAGTCGTCCAAGTCTTTTCGCTGGGGATGGGTTCCGTTACCGCTGAGAAAGGTCGGTCGCGCAACCGCCAATTGGGTGAAAGGCCCTGATCCGCCGCATATGCTTCTGTTAAAGCCGCTGTTTCCGCGAGTCCAGGAACTGCCCGTCCAGTACCTTGACCGTCTGTTGCCCAAGCGCAAATATAAAACTTTGCTTTTGCTGCTGCTGTATGTGTCTTGGTTTTTGCCTTGGTTCCTTGTCTTGCTGCACTCGCGCTCTTCTGGGTATATTGAAGGATACGGTCGGCCGCAGACCCTCTCGTGTTCGTCGAACTTCTGGTATGTCGAATGAGATAATCTTATGTTTTGCATTACTAATCATTTTTCGACTGATTTAGGGAGTTTGATAATGGATGTGGAATTAATGGAAACGACTGCCGTCCATTTTCTTCCTCAACCATTGCCTTCCGGTGCCCCGCGAATTGCCGTGACACCAAATTACTGGAGCCTCACATTGTGGGAAACCATACATATAATTACCAAGGACTAGTGGTTGGAGGTCCTCAGCCTGATTCCTCTGACCCGGCACTTTACCGCGCGGACAGTTTTGTCTGCCAAGCGGCAATCCACGTGGGCGCTATCTCGAATGATGGCGGCTGCGGCGTTGTGAAGCTTGAGGGTGCGGCGCACTCTTTCCCTTCAGTTGAGCAGCATGGCATTCTGTCTGCTGCCTTCCCATCAACCTTCCCCAAGGCGTTCAGTTTCCTCCAGCTGTCTTCACCACAGGCCAGCTGCCCATCAGACCCGCGCTGGACCCTGCTCGGAGTCACAGCTGCTGCTGTTGGCGTTTTATGGCTTTTCTGCACGTCCCCACCTATATTGTTCTTCAGTACCTTCTTTATGGTGTTCTGTCACACAGGACTAGTTGCCGACCCGCCCTCATATCCCACCTTGGCCGACCTTGTCTCTAGTCTTCTATCTCGTCTACTGCCGGCTTCCTTCGTCGTTTATGTCCTATATAAGTTCTGTGCGGCACCGCTTTTACAGCCAATTTCCTCTCCCATCTACCAGCTATCAAAGATGCTGCTCTATTTGCCTCCGCTCTTCATTGGTGCTTTGAATAACTACACATTTGCGCGGTTGATTCCACTGCAGCGTCTTACTCCGATGGACATCCAGAAGCAACCGGGAGCGAAGTTTGCATTGGCTCTTGTCATTCCAACTGTGCTCGCGATCGTTCTGAGTCAAGCATGGCAGATTCGTCAAGGAGGCTTGCTTCCCCGATATTTGAAGATCTACTGCACGATGTTGCTGATAATTTTGATTTTGCTTCCTCTTCCTGGTCTTCGGCTTCGGATCCATCATTAT